GATGTCACTTTATTTGTCCTTTTGTCTCCTATTTATAAAGACATATTTATATAATTACAGAAATGAGGGAACAATTAAGGTAATTGTTCTTAATACAATTGATACTCTAATCAATTGTATGGTTTTTATACCGTATATGTATGATAATTTAAATTCTAATGTAGCGGTAATTGGCTAGTCGACCTACTTGAACTCGGTAGCCTGAGGCAACCGCTATTGGAATCAATTTCTGATGTCGCGTACAGTGGGTGCCTATTTAAACAACGTAACTTTTTCCAGCTTCTTGTCATCCAAGTCATCCAATCAGACCTCCTCATATGTGCCCTGAGCATAGAATTAGGACTAGTACCGTTTTGACCCTATCCGAGAAAATTCACCGTAAGGCAAGGTTAGCATTGGCTCTGAACATGTTTTATGTCTATTATGATGTTGAAAGACCAAACTCCATCAATTTGGACTCTTTTGAGGCCAATGGTAGCTTCCAAAGTTCCTCACACTCATTTTGCAAAATTTTAGGTTCAAACCAATTTTACGCCCGCAGGATGCCTGTTGGCATAAAAAACCCCACTTAAAAACTTGTAAAATGTTAATTTCTAAGTTACAGAGTCATATTTTTATCAATATGTAACATTTTGTGGCTTTTGTATCAACAAGGTTCTTCATACGGTCAACCGGGCAAAAATTAGGGTTTGGAATACCCTACGAGTACCGTGATCCAGGCCGACCATTGGTTATGATTTTCCCGATAAACAATCAATAAAAATACACATTTTTTTGAATTTTGGGGATCATAATTCACTCATATGTGGTCTCTTATAGCTTTTAAATTTAAAGAATGCTTTATCTGGTGTTTCCAGTGAAAATCAAAGTTTTATGGCAAGGCCGACACCCAGAACAACCCCTTGGCTCTCTAAAACGAGAGCCTGAAAAGTAGATGTTTTCCCCTGACGACAACAGGCCCAAGCACCTAGGCGCCAGCCTCTGGAAAGCAACAACACGAAGCTACTCGAAATGCACAGTTTTTAAACAAAAAATCTGGAAAGTAGGCATCAGCACCCAGCGCCCCGCCGCCAAGCACCCAGCACCTGGGCGCCACACCCAGGTGCATAGGCACCGGAATCACGGTGCCTAGACTCTCGGCCATTTTATGCTCCACATTTTCTCAAATTTCTCACCTGACACGCCTCCCTAAGCAGTCAAAAAAGTGCAAATTTCTTGTTTTGCATGGAGATATGCCTTGGAAGGAGAAAATGCTAATGCATAGGACCTTTTTAACCTTCTTTTGGAAGGTTCTAGGAGAATGAGCTTGGCATCTTTGGCGATTTGACCGGGGGGGGGGGGGGGGGGGAGTTGGTTTAAGCTCCTCTCCTCTGCTCATTCTCAGCATTGGGCCTCCCCTAAGAGCTGAAAGCTCTTCTTCTATCATCGGTTATCTTCTTTCCTTGGAGATATGGTTTCCACTTGCGAGCCAAGGAAAAATCTTGAAGTGATGATCATTTTGAGAGCTTCAGAGTGCTAGAGGAAGAGCACCATCTTCTTCCTCAAGTGGCTTCGTCCTCTTGGAGTTTGAAGCTTGGATCAAGGGAGTTGAGGAAGACTCTTTATCTTCCTAAAGGAGAGAGATAGGGATTTGGTCATCTTCCAACTTCTTCTTCTTCTCAGGTGACCTCACTCTTCCATTGTGAACTTTTCAAAGAGTATGAATAGGAAAGCTTCATCCTATCTTTGGGGAAGGGCGACTCTGGCAAGCTCATGGTCTCTTCCTTGGAAGGAGAGCTCCATTCCACATCGGAGGAGGCGAAACTTTGGTGATCTCTCTAGCGATGAGAGCTTCCTTATTTCCTTGAGGAAGGCCTTGCGTAGGCTTTTCTCATACCGATGGGAGAGCTTCATTCCACTTGAAGAAATGCATCCATAACCACCACGACTGTATAACCTCTTAAACCCTCACATTTTCTTCCTTGCGAGAACGTTAGATGAATGTGGCTCGCTATTGATCATGCTCATTTGCATTGCAGGACATTATATGTCATGATATGTGTTTTGCGTGAAGCATGTTACACATGCACAGTGCCTCTACCGCCCGCCCCAACTAGGCCGACATAGCATATTGCCTCGACTGGCCGCCCCACCCTGGTCAGCATAATAAAATGCATTGACTGGCCACCCCAGATTGATCAACATAACACGTTTCCTTTGTCGGCCACCTTAGACCACTTGACATAGCACCCTGCCTCGATCGATCACCCTAGTTTGGTCGATATAGCATGTTGCCTTGACCGGTTGCCGCAACCCGATTGAAATAGCACATTGCCTCGACTGATTGCCTTAGTCACGTCGGTTTATCACATTGCCTTGACCAGTCGCCTCGACCCGGTCGATATAGCATATTGCATTGATCGACCACCCCGGCCCGATCGACCTATCATTCACATGGTATATGCTTTGCATGTGCACTAGTTTTGCAGGTATGATGTTTTGCATGCTCTAGCTGTATTTTGCATGTCTAGCTGCAGTTCAACAATACTTAGATCTGACAAATGCTGCTCACTCTAACATTCATCATGGAAGTCGGCAAACTCTAGCCGAAGCCAACCCGACTTGCTTTGGCCGCCTCCTCCTCAGTCCCACTCCATCCGCCGACTCAGGCCTGTTACGACAGTCGACCCTCGTTCCCTTTAGGCCAACTCTGGCTGCCACCCCTCCGACTAACACATGCAGGCAACTCTGGCTCCCATCGTCGGGCAACTATGGCCTCAGCCCCCTTCGACCAACTCAGGTAGCCACCCCAGTCACTAGCCAACAGAGACATCTGTCTTCGCCACTGACCAATTCAAGCAACAGTCATTGGCCAATTTTGATCGCTGCCCCCTTCGACCAACTTAGGCAGCCACCGCCGAATAACTTTGGTCGCAGTAACCACCAGCTAAATCCAACCAAGTCTGGTCATCGCAGCCTCTACACACTTTGGCTTCTACCTCCTCGTCCATTCAATTATGGCTTCCGTCGACTCCAATCAAATCTCACTGCCACCCGTTGGCTAACTTTGGCCGTCATCAATCGCCGTATGCTCACCATGGCAAAATACTATGCAAAGCAATCAACAAAACCACAGAAGCAAGTAACAACCTATGAAACGCTGCATCGTCCTGAACATCGTGCTGATCTGAAGATAGTGCAACAAATCTCCAATTTTCACTCTACGCTACAATTACTCCCAATCGCGTGGCATGGAGTTCTCCAGTGCATTGACATTATAACCCGAGAAATTGTGTAACCCTTTCCGACTCTTGAGATAAGAGGTTGTACCAATAATCACCAACTGACAGTGGAATACTTTGACCTGTCTTGACCTTTTGTTTATTTCCCTTTTCTATGATTTTTCATGTAAAAAACAAGGTGTATCCCCCTGCTTACATTTCTTTAATTATCTAAGTGTGTGCCGGTTTTCTATTCAACACTAAGTTGCTAAATCATTACTCTACCGCCACATTAATGTTTGGACTCATAGAAGTTAAGAAACAATTCAAGTAAGAAAATATACTAATAGTTCAATTTTTTTTGTTATTTGATTGAGTGTAGAACAAATGCTTCAGATTATTTTTTCTGCATGTGATTTGAAGTAAATGAGTTCAATGCAAAGTAAGATGGAGAAAATTGTTTGGAACTGATATTGGAGGCAGCCTATATGATATATTTGAAGTCTCCCAATTTGAAATAGCTGATTTTAAATTTGTCAATATTTCACTCCTTTTTCTTCATCCAATCAAATATCAGACTTTTGAAAACTCATGCACAATAAATGCATTACATTCATCAACATTTAACCAAGTCCTCAAATGTTTTTGTGTACTTGTGAGAGCAAGTATTGTTTTTATATTTATGATTAGTTTTTCATGGTATCCATTATTACACTATAAACCAACAACAATAATCACTGTAATTAAGCAAAAAACACTGAATGTCTAAAGCTAAACATAGCCATTTAAAACATAAAAAATTTAACTTAATTTCTATATTCTATTTGAAGTTAATTGACAAAATATTTCAACTATAATTTTAAAATTGCACAAATGTTGTCTCTTATAACTAAAAATATAACCATAAGAATTCCACAACTAGAGGTGTAAACGAACAGAACACGAACGAACAGAGCTCGTGTTCGAAATTATTCGTGAAGTCACTGTTCGTGTTTGTTTCTTAACAAACGAACCAAACACGAGCTGCTCGCAAACAACGAGCCAGTTTCACATCCCTAATATTAATAAAGCGCTAGAGCCTATGGATGAGATGGTTAATGTATTATATATTATAATTTTTTAAAATATCATAAAAATTATATATATAATTATTTTATATTTCAAACAATAATGATTTGAACATGAACGAACGCATCACTGTTCATTTTTTATTCAACTGACCGAACGAAAAAAATTTATTCACGTTCGTCTCGTTTACTTATCAAACGAATCGAACATGAATTTATTAACGAACCCAACACGAACTGTTCGCGAACAACAAGCTTTTTTAACAGCCCTATCCACATGCCATAAACTTTTATTTTTTATTTCAATTTTACATACTTATAGGCTAAGCAGAAAAATTTTAGGATAATCTCACATGCACTGAAGTATATATTAAATGACAATGAGTGTGCTAGTCTAAAGCAGAACAGTAATGTAATTCAATTCAACTACAAGAGCTAAATTTTTTTTTTATAATAAACATCAAATGAGCACAGTATTTATACAAAGGGGCAACTTTAATCCATACCACTCAATTGATATGAATTTACATATATAACACCAAACGTTTGTTTTTTACATTTATACCACCCAAATCTTTCATATCACATAAAAAAATACCACTATTTTTAACTTTTAAAAAGTAAAATACACAATTTCATGCACAGATAAGATGGTGTATGTAAAAATTGAAGTTTAGGAGTAGGCATTGAATGGTATGCATGTAAATCTTCCTTAAACAAAATAAAACACAACAGATTAGGACACATTTCCATCAACGGATCATTGCTGTATGCTCCTTTGCTGGCGAGTGTATTCCCATAGAGCAATTGCGCCACTAACATGAACATTGAGAGATCTGATTATACCCAGCTGAGGAATCTCAACACAAGCATCTAAAACATGAATAATATCTACAGGAATCTTCTCTCTTCCCAGCACTAAAACCTGCAAGGCAAACATTCATGTCATTTTTTTTATATTTCATTGTTCTTAAATTTTGTTTTGTTTTTTATTTTGACTTGAAATGAAACATATATGATTGTTTTTATGTTTTGAGTATATTAAAAAAAATATGTTTGTTTATTTTTAGAAAAAAAAAATGATCTGAAGAAAATATATTATAAATATATTAAGCAAATATGTTTTTAAGAACAAAGGAAAAAAAAAAAAACAAAATTGATATGAAGAGATTACCGATTTTTTTGGGAAGACGAACTTGTCAAGCGCCGTACTATTTGCAGTTTGCTCCAAGCCTAAAATGGAGAAACCTTCTCTCCTCTTCTTCTCTAGAAAAGCTTTAATGCTGGAAACTGGAACCTCTATGATGGGTATCCATTTCTCAGCTGTTACACTGAAGCAAGGTGGCAAAATCAATGATTAATTTTGATAGGGTAATGACATGAAAAATTCATCTCATGGCTTACCCATAGAATAGACACCAACAACTAACATTCATGGATTTGTATAGAGAGGTTGTATTCAACTAATGCAAATTACATAGAATATTGAGTTCTCTTGTATACATTTGTGCTTTCGTATAATGATTTCTTTAGCGCTTTCAAGAATAACAAGTTCTTAAATAGAGCATAGTGCCAAAATAGTCCCTGGACTATTTATAAGGGATTATTTTAGTACTAGAGTTTATAAAAGTGTCACATTAGTCCCCATATTCTTAAGATAGCCCTCTGTGGGATTATTTTTGCCCATATTAAAAGAGTTCAGGGAATAAATCAGCACTCATATGGATTATGAGATTAAAATGACCACGGCAAAGAGTCGGGAAATTATTTGGACACTTATCATTTTTTACATAGCATAACATTGGTAACAAAAGGATTTGCTGATGCAAGAAGTTGGAAAACTGTCAAAAATGATCATACTTCTAATTTTCATAAAGACTCAACAATTAAACATCATAGTTCCCATCCACAAAAGCTTTATGAGTTGTACAACGAAAACAAACTTTAAAATTTGCTTAAGAGGACTATTATATAAAAGAAATAAGAACCCACTTTCAACATAAAAGAGTGAAAGATAGCTAACCTTATAAGCTGGAATTGTTTGTCCCGCATAATACTTGAATCAGCAATAGCAAGACAAGCTGCTCTAAACACCTATGTGCCACAAAAAACAACAATCATTAGACTAATGGAAGAATTGGTGAATTATGGACAAATAAATCACAGCCACTCATTGACGCTTTTTTTTTTTTTTGGGGAGGGGGATGGCCGCGGGGGAGGCGGGCAGTTCATGCACAGGTAAGGAGACATTAATGTAAAAATTGAAGTTTTAAGTGTTAGATAATGTAAATGCATAGAAATTGACTGATATGCATGTAAATCTTCCTTTTTTTACCTCACATGTCCTTGCTAACCCAGCAAGATTGGGAATTCGATCAAGCAACGACGCAACAAGAATTATTTGTTGTTGACTTTCTCTAATCTTTTCTGTAACTTCTTTTCTTGCTTGAATCGCTGAACCTATAAGCTGGTCTTCCAATTCCAATTCTGATGTAAGCATTAAAAAAATGGGTAGTAGTTAGATTGCATGAGAAGAGTTTATCATTTGCAGCAGGATAGTGATTATAAATATACCTTTAAGAGTATTTAAAAGATAATAAAAGAATTATGGCCCAACTATACGGTGATTGATTTTTTTAATAATAATTATTATTATTTAAATTGAATTTAACAGGGTAAAATTTATTAATTTTGAACGTTGCTATGAGAGGGAAATTGCAATAGTTTAGCTGAACCAAACATGTGTGCTAAAATAACTAGTTCCATTCTAAATATTAATGTAAATAGCCTAGAAATACATCATGCACTAATGATGAGACTTAGTGAAGGAAATACAAAGGGTTATTCAGTAAAAAGAAAGGCATTTGACAATGTAATGTACAACAACAAAAACAACAAAAATAAGCCTTTACCCACAAACGGGGCCGGCTACATGAATTATTTTTCTCCATTGTGTCCTGTTGAGTGTCATATTTCATTTAATACTAATAGATTAAGATCATGTTTTATACAAAATGACCAAGTCTTTTTAGGTCTACCTCTCCCCTTTTTTTACCATATGTCAAATTTAGAACATATACTCTCTCAACAGAATGATGATCAGATGATTGGTGTTTAATGTGACCAAATCAGCTAAGGAGACTTTCTCTAATCTTCTCTGTCACCAGAACACCAATCCTTTCACAGATATATTCGTCTCGCATTTTTTCTTTAAGTGTAAAGTCACTCATCCACCTAAACATTCTTATTTCAAAAACACTTAGTTTTATGCTCATCTTTTATAGGCAAACATTCTACACCATAAAATATTGCAGGTCTCACCACCATCTTGTAAAATTTTCCTCAAGTCCAAGAGGCACTTTTGTATCACACAAAAGACTTGATGCATTCCTCCATTTCAACCATCCAACTTAAATTAGACTAATAACATCCCCATGTATATCAACATCACTTTGAACAATAAACCCGAGATATCTAAAACTTCACTCCTTTTAATGTCTTGATCACCTTTTGTTACAACCTCACCATTAGGTCTACTACTATTAAAATTACATTCCATATATTCAATTTTAGATCTATTCAAACGAAAACGTTTAGACTCAAGTTGACCTCTATAATTAAAGTTTTTCTTGAACTCTTTGTTTAGGATCTTATGCACAAGGACATCATCAACAAAAAGCATACACGAAAGTACATCCTCCTATAAAATGTCCAATAAGAATATCCATAATTAAAGCAAAATGATATGGACTTAAAGATGACAATGTAATTCAATTGAAATAGAATACTTGGTCAATCCTCCTGTTCTAACACAAGTACTGGCTCTAGCAAACATATCTTCAATGGCTTGAATATAAGTAATGTCAACCATTTTCTTTTCTAGAACTCTCCAAAGCACTTCTCTTGGTATTTTATCAGAAGCTTGTTCTAAATCAACAAATATCATATTTAAACCCTCCTTTCTCTGTATTTCTCCATCACACCTCTCAATAAATGTATAGCTTCCAAAGTAAACTTGCCTGACATAAATCTAAACTGATTATGAGAAATTTTTATATCACATCTTAACCTATGTTCAATAATCTCTCCCATAATTTTAATGTAGGACACATTAACTTAATTCCTCTATAATTTGCACAATCTTGTGTGTTCCCTTTATTCTTAAAAGTAGAGACCAAAATACTCCTCATTCACTCCTCAAACATATTTTTAATTTATAAAATAATATTAAAAAGTTTAGTAAGCCAGAAAATTCCCAAATCCCCTAAATATTTCTACACTTATATTGGTATGCCATCAGGTTCTACTGATTTTTCATCCTTTATTTTCTTTAAAGCCCCATCAACTTCTGTTTGCAACAGTAAAAATTAAAAAAAAAATATTATTATTAACTATATTAAGAATACTAAAATCAATCACATTATCAAATTCTACATTAAAAAGTTTATCAAAATATCCCCATCTATGTTGAATATCCTCATCTAAGAAAAATACTTTTGGATTTTCAACCTTAACATAGTTAACTTGAACTAAATATTTACTTTTCCTATCTCTTTGTTTGACTGGTTTAATATTTAGTTTACTTGAACTAAATATTTACTTTTCTCTAATATTTAATAATATTATAAAGTCACTCATCCATAATTTATGAGTCATATAACTAACCTATGGGAGAGAATGGAGGAATACATGCTTAAAATTACATCAACTTTATATTTAATTTAATTTCATGCCAGAAAAAAATCTAAAAGAAATTTTTATGTTGAAACAATCAATGGAGTATAGAGAGCAAAAAAATGACTTTCATATTATTTTTATTGATCTTGAGAGAAGACATGATAAAATGAGAATTAATTTAGTTTGCTTTAAGGTGAAAAGGCGCGCGCCAAAATTTATTGAAGTTAGTAAAGACAGGTATAATAAAGTGTTGACTAGCATTAATTAGGTAAAAAGGCTTAAAATTACCTCCATGTGAATGTTTAATTGGTAGCTAGTCATAACATAAATGCTAATTGTGATTAAATGGAATAAAACAGAAGTCTACATAAAATTCAGCCAAAACAACTAACTCTTAATTATAAAAAATATAGTTCTAGTATCAATTAAAATTGGTCGTTTGTTGAATTTCATAAAGGAGATACGGTGTTAAGCATGAATGCAGACTAATAAATTTGAGCTTAGCTTAGAATCAAAATATGAAATTTGTCAAAATGGTCCCTCGACTCTTTGCATGCGGTCATTTTAGTTTCGGAATCTATAAAAATGTCAATTAAATGTCGAAGACCTTTTTGATGAGGCTAAAACCCATATTAACATAGTGAGGGACTAATTTGATATTTTTATAAATTGTGGCACTATATAAATAGTTAAGGACTATTTTAGCATTTTACTAGAATCAAAATTCTATAAGAAAGCTATAAATAATGATGTAGCTTGACAAAACAATGAAACAAATTTGTGATCAAATAAAAGTCACTTACTACTCAGCGACTATGTTAATTAATAATGCTTTACCTGAAAGGACTGTGGACAGCTTTGAATTTGTAAGATAGGATTGATTATCATATGCTGGCTGCTTCTCAAGTCCTTTAAGAGAAATTTTCTTCTGGAAGTCTGTAGTAAGGTCATTGCGGGTTTGCTTAAGTGACGCCTCATTCAAACTGAATATCCCATCAGAAGTACCATTTGTTGTTAAGCTCTCGTTCTTGATAGTTTTCTCATCTATAGCGACGGAATATCGAAGCTCGTCCCTCACATCCTGCAACCACTAAACTGAATAACAACTCTGGTGTTGAAAAATAAGCTAAGGGACCGTTTGGGACAGCTTTTTTTTTATTTTCTATTTTTGTTTTATTTTATGTTTTAATTTAAAATAAAATATATTTGGCTATTTCTTATCAATTGGCTATATTTGTAGCTCAAATATGTTTTATTTCAAATTAAGAAAAAAAGCAAAATGCAAAAGTGATCCCAAAGGGCCCTTTAAAGTATGGTTGTTTATAAAAATACTCAGAACATTTAAGCTTACATTTAAAAAGTTTTCAAAAATATGTTAATTTTGAATGTTTTCAAAAATATGTTAATTTATTTTTAAATAAAAAAAATAAAAAAATATAAAAAACATACCAAACAAACATGTTCTTTAAAAAAAAAAAGAAAAAATTGTAAATGTTTAAGCTTAATAATAGACATTTAAGAAGTTCATCACCGAGTCCATCAGAGAAACGGGAACACATTCAAACTCAGATCCCTACATCAGCAAAACCAATTGATAAATATTGGAAGTTGAAAAAAGCTACAAATATAAAACATATAAATAAAATTCTGGCAATTGACAATAAAATCACGGAGATGTTTTAAGCTATGAAAAAAAATTGTATTAAGAAGCATCATTATTTTGACCTTATTCCGGGAATTAAATACTCCAGCCGGCGTTGCAGAAGCAAGGGGATCAAAATTTTCAAGAAAGCCTTCCATCGAAGTCCTTAGCCTGAAACAGATATCTCAAGCATGAAGAAAGAATTAGCAATATCTAAGACAATCAAAATGTTTCAAATTTTCCAACTAAGTGAAAGGGTATTTCTAGATTAACCATTACACAATAGAATATATATTGAATGAAAGTTTCCCATATTTTTACATGATAACAAGAGAAAAAGACAGTATAAATACCAATGACAAGCTTTAGGTATGATTCACAGAAGCATGATCACATGAAATTCTGATCAAAATGTGTTTGGAAAACACCGGACGTCTGGTGTAATAAGTTAAAATCACATATGCCATAGCCTATGTGATGCGAGTAAAAATTTAAAATTTTATTGTCATAGATCTCAGAATATTTCATTAGAAAAAATTTAGTCTTTGCCATCACTTCATAGAGATTTGTTAGCAATTTGTGCACAAACTGAGCTATTAGTTGGTGGGTTATTAGCAATTTATTATTTATCCCACATCTATGAAGAGATGAATTTTGAGGAAACATAATTTTATGACATAAAGAAATTCTAATTGTGGGAGAAAAGTGCCTTCTTCACATATCCCAAATGTTGAACATTTGTCAAGTTTGATACCTGAAACCTTTTTAGAAATACAGTCTGACGCAGGACGGTCCCGCCCGCAACCATTTTTGCGGGCAAGTCACGTCCATCGACCGAGCGCAACCACTCGATCGGTCCAGCGCTGACGCGGGACGGTCCCGCCCGCAACCATTTTTGCGGGTAAGTCACGCCCATCGATCGATCCAGCGCCCTTGCTGGACCGGACCGGTCCAAATTCATTAAAAGTGTGAAGCCCTTCCCCTTCTGCGGTCATTTTCACCTCCGCCTCTTTCGAGCTGTTTGTCACGGACTAACTTTCGTCAAGTCACCCGTGCGGCTTTAGCGCTCTCTCTTAGCACTAAATCAGCCTAATCACTCACAACACTGGACTTAGCAGCCCCAAGCACTCTTAAGAAGAAGAATAGAGAGAAAGGAATAATTAGCACTTGAATACTAGAATGCTTTGATTCAATGCTTGGGTAAATACAAATGAGGGGAGGAGCTCCTATTTATAGCCTCCTCCATGCCTTTGGCCTTTCATCTAGCCAATGTGGGACTATACAATGTCCAAGAGAAGCTTCTAGATTACAATATAATATTCTATCTCTTAGACTATTCTAATGTACATAAATAACTCTAGAACATTCTAGGTTATTCTTAGATCCTCTTTAGAGCTTTTCCTTCTTGCTCTCCCCTGAACGTGGTGGAATCTTCTAGAGCCCCTTTGATGACTCCTCATATTCGGACCTTCTCTAGAATCTTTCATCCTCTGTTCGTCTCGATGATTTCTCGAATGTCACGGAGCGTGACATGTTGCAGCGCCCCATCTGCCCCCAAGCCATTGCCCGCCTCTTCAATTCCCTTCCATTTTTTCTCTTCCTTTCCTATGCCACCTCCCTCCCTACATATACACATTCTTTCTCAAGTCTAAGTAGTGATTGATTTTCTGATTTTAGGTTGTCCCTAGTGATTTCCCTCGTGCAAGAGCTGTATTCTTCGGTGGCGTGGTGCTATGACTGTATCCCGCCAAGGTGGTATGTAACTCCGCATCACCTCCTCCTCCTGGCATCACCTCCTCCACAGCCATCCACCAGATTCCATCCTGTAGCCCGCCCAACCCCCTTCACTTGCTCCTTCCAGCAATATCGGCCAAGTGCCTCCTCCATCCTAGACGCTGCAGTCCATTTCAACGCCTATCTGTCAGCTGCAGCACCTTCAGCACCTCTCGAAGCCCTATCCAGCCAGCAACGATACCCACAGCTCACTGCAGCCAGCTATAGCACCTGCAACCCCCCTCCCGGCACTCCTCCAACATTGACGCTCACTTCAACATCCTCCTAGCCATCAGCGACACATCTCCAGATTCTCGACAGAGCCATATCCTTCACAGGACATGAATCAAGACTGTTTTTGCTCTTTGTAGTATTTATTTTACTATTTGTTGAGTCGCTAATTCTTATATTATCGTTCACAAGTTGTGTTGTTTTCATCCAAATGTCCGTGTTGTACTTTCCGTCGAAATCATCAATAAAAATTGTGTCGTTTTGAGTCGTGGTTTGAGTTAACTCCGGTATCATTGGTATCAGAGCTAGCCCAACCCTAATAGTCTTAACCTATGTTCACTAGCATCCGGCCCCACCCAATCCACCAAAAGTTTTTCTCTTCCATCCCCCTCATTTTCCCCCATCCCTTTTGTCCTTCTCTTCTTGTCTCTTCATCCTCCCTTCTCTTTCCTAAAACACTTTTGATCATGTCTCCACGTTGAGATGCACTGGACCAGACTCGGGAAGAAATGCAACGTGATATTCGTCGCTTACAACAACGATTGACCGAGATGGACGACGGGAATCAAGGCAACATTACTCTCAATTGTGACATCAAGAGTTGAAGAGGAGACTGCGAAGATGACCTAAATCAGTTTCACAGAGATGATGTCAGCAACAACGAGTATCGCCCAAGCCGCATTGAAATTCACTATCACAAGAGACGTCAGGAGGAGCCCATGTTCGACACCCATCGTGATTTCAACATCAAAATGGACCTTCAGAATTCGACGAGAGCATGGACCTCGACGACTTCATCGACTGGTTGAAAGAGATCGAACGAATCTTTGATTACAAGGAGTTACCCGAGGACAAATGACTTAAGCAAGCAACAATCAAACTAAGGAAAAATGCTTTGTTATTGTGGACAACTTGCAACGACAACAAAAACGGGACGGGGATGACAAGATCACTAAGTGGGCCAAAATGAAAAAGACAATGCAAAAAAAATACCTGTCACTCCACTATCGCTAGGATATGTTACTCCACCTTCACAACCTGCAACAGCGTGATCTATCGGTCGAGGAATTCACAACACAATTTGATCATCTACAGACGAAGTGCGACCTAGTGAGCAAGAAGAGCACACAATCTCCTGCTATCTCGGCGATAATAAAACCTGTCATTAGCAACATTGTCCAACTCCAACCATACTTGACGCTAAATGATGTCCAAACCCTTGCATTGAAAGTAGAACGACAACAAAAGTAGACCAAATCTAAAAACTCCTTCCGCCTGCAGTCGACATAAAAGCTATCACGTCAAATCACACCTACCAACAAAACCACGATGGAAGCTGGCAAATCACTCTTAGAAAGCTCGAAAACCAACCCGAACACCACAAAATCTAAAAATTCCTTTTCGGTGCCATGGGTACGACCACATCGCCATCAATTGCCCCAGCACCCGCGTTGTCACTTTTATTGAAGAAGGCATCGTCGAAGAAGTCGAAGAAGTCGAGGAAGCCCAATCTGAGGATGGTTCAGAAGAAGCACTTCCCCTCCTCGTTGACGAAGGCAAACTATTGGACATACGGAGGATCCTTCAATCTGAGCCTGAAAGATATTCATCATTGCTACGACACAACATCTTTCGTACTACATGCATTATCAAAGGCAAAATCTGCAACTTAATCATCGACGACAGTAGTTGCAAAAACGTCGTATCACCCTATGATCAAGAAGTTAGGCTTAGCCACACAAAAACATTTGCGTTTCTACTCTTTGGCTAAAAGAGAGGACGAGATTCGCGTCGATCAATAATGCTTAGTCGAATTCTCCATCAATATTAATTACAAGAACAAATTTTGTGCGATGACATCCCAATGGACGCATGTCACATTCTGGGACGACCATGACAACTCGACCGAAAAACATGACACAATGGCTTCAAAAACACCTACACATTCAAGAAGGATGGAAAACACATCATGTTATTGAAACACATCATGTTATTTGTAAAAGATGAGTAATCCATAATCGACTCTGAAGAAACATTAATCTCACGTGCCACCTTTCTGCAATTAGCTCGCAAAGCCCCCGATCGCCTTAGCTCTGGTCCTAGAGGGTACTGGCTAGGAGAATGAGATACCCACACAGCTTAAACCACTCCTACACAATTTCCAAGATGTCACGACCGACAATCTCCCAGAAGGATTACTCCCACCGTGGGACATCCATCATGCAATTGACCTCATACCATTATAAAATAGAGCCGCCTACCAATTACGACCCAAGAGGAACTCCAACGTCAGGTGTATGATCTTAATAAGAGAAGATTAGTATGCGAAAGCACCAAGCCATGTGCCGTCCTTGCTCTCATTGTACCCAAGAAAAATGACTCATGACGAATGTGCATTGATAGTTGTGCCATAAACAAAATTACAATCAAATATCGCTCACATACCACGACTTGATGATCTTTTAGATCAGTTGTACGGTGCCTCCGTCTTATCAAAAATTGAACTATGGAGTGGTTATCATCAGATCAAAATGCGACTGGGAGACGTGTGGAAAACAACCTTCAAAATACGAAATGACCTTTATGAATGGACAGTCATGCCTTTTGGCCTGTCTAAAGCGCCCAACACCTTTATGCGCCTAATGAATCAAGTCTTTCGAGCTCATATCGGGAAATTCGTAGTGGTCTACCTAGATGACATCCTGATTTATAGTAAATCTGAAGACCACCTACAACACCTACGAGTGGTATTCAAGATCCTGCAATCCCAACAACAGTATGCCCATCCCAAAAAATGTCACTTCGTCATAAATCAAATCTATTTTTTGGGCTACATTGTCTAGCACAGGAATACAAATGGACCCCACAAAAATTCAGGCAATCATAAGCTGGATCGTGCCACAATACTTTACCGAGCTTCGACAATATTTGGGGCTACCCTCCTATTGCAGATTTGCCCTCACCTTTAGCACTATCACCACCCCCCTCACAGGATTGTTGAAATGAAAAAAATTCACATGGATGGTCACAACCCAAACCACCTATGATTGCTTAAAGGAAAAGGTCACTCGAGCCCCAACTCTTGCCTTACCTAATTTCAACCAACCATTCGAGGTTAAGTGTAATGTTTCCGGCGTAGGCATCAACACTGTACTAAGTTAAGGTGGTCAACCCATAGCCTATTTTAGCGAAAAACTAAACGAAGCTCGACGAAAATATTCCACCTACGATAAAGAATTTTTTGTCATTGTTAGAGCATTAGAACACCAGAGACATTACCTACTCACCACGGAGTTCACCCTTTTCACGGATTATGAAGCTCTAAAATTTTTAAACAATCAAAATAAACGCAAAGGGCTCCATGCTACCTGGGTAGAGTTATTAGCGTCATTCCAATTCGTACTTGAGCACAAAGACGGAAACCAGATTCGGGTTGCTGACCCTCTGAGCCATCATTACCTTTTGATCACATCCTTATAGACAGACGTAATAAGTTTTAAAGTTATAAAAGACTACCAATGAAGACTTTCAAGAAATTTGGGAACAGGAACAGTGTCAGAAGAAACCACATGGCAGCTCTACAAAGCGGACGGCTACTTGTTCCGCCACAGTCAATTGTGCATTCCACAATGCTCACTAGGCGAAGCTATCATCCAGGAGAGTCATAGTAGCGGATTGGCGAGCCATTTTGGCACGGAAAAAACTATCACACTAGTAAGAGAACATTTTTTTTTGCCCCATCTAACACGAGATGTGGAGTGACATGTCTGGTAATACAAAATATGTCATATCGCAAAAACACGAGGCAAAAATACATGATTATACACGCCTTTACCAGTCCCTGAAGCACCCTGGGTCGATGTCAGCATGGACTTTATCCTGGTCTGCCACACAAACAAAGGAATAAGAACTCTGTCATGATCGTAGTCGATCGTTTCTGTAAAATGGTGCGTTTTGTAGCCTGCCACCAGACATTGTACGCCTCTCATATTGCCGATCTATACTTGCGCAAGATCGTTCCGCTTCACGGCATACCTAGGACCATTACTTCCGACTGGGACGTTAAATTCTTGAGCCACTCTAGCGGACCCTCTAGAGCAAATTAGGCGTTCGACAACACATCCTCAGACAGATGGGCAGACCGAAGTTGTTTATAAAAGCCTTGAGAATCTTCCTTCATTGGGAAAAACATCAAACAATGGGATCTCATTCTCCCCCAAGTTGAATTTGCCTAATCGATCAACAAGCCAAACTACAGGGCACACGCCGTGTACGACCACAATCCAATAAAGCCCCTTAAGTTGGTTCCACTTCTACCCCCAACAGATATCAACGAGGATGCTATAAAACATATTCATCAGATTCAATAACTCCACGAGGAAGTTCGGACCACGATTACAAAACAAAACAAGAAATACCAAACACAAGCCAACAAGTCCCAAAAAAATATAACCTTTAAAGGAGACCTTGCGTAGATCCTCCTTAAGAAAGAGCAATTTTTCGTAAGAGCACACGACAAACTCAAGCGCAAGGCTGATGGAATAATTCACATACTTAAAAAGCTAAATAACAATGCCTACAAAATTGACCTACAGGGCAACTATAACATTTCAACAACATTTACTGTTGCGAACCTCACCGAATTCTACGAAGGCCCACAAGCTTCGACAGATGACGCTGAAGCTCCTCACCCACGGGAGATTGACGCAAGACGCTCATGCCCGCAACCATTTTCGCAGGCAAGTCACGCCCATCAACCGGGCGTGGCCATTCGACCGGTCTAGCACTCTTGCTGGACCAGACCGATCCAAATTCATTAAACACGTGGCACCCCTTCCCCTTCCGCGATCATTTCCGCCTGTGGCCTAATCCTCTACCTCTTTCAAGTTGTTGCAGCGTCCCATCCGCCTCCTAGCCGTTGCCTCATTCCCTCCCTATTTATACACATTCTTTCTCAAGTCTAAGCAGTGATTGATTTTCTGATTTCGGGTTTTGTCCCTGGTGATTTCCATCGTGCGAGGGCTGTATCCTTTGGCGGTGTGGAGCTACGGCTGTATCCCGTCAACGTGGTATATATCTCTGCGTCATCTCCTCCTGTTGACATCACATCCTTCGCTTCCATCTACTAGATTCCATCCTGCACCCCGCTCAACACCCTTCTCCTGCTCTTTCCAGATATCCGCCCCCTCCTTCCTGGACACTGCAGTCCATCTCAAAGCCTCTCTGTCAGCTGCAACACCTTCAACATCTCTCGACGCCCTATCTAGCTAGCAACAGTACTTGCAGCTCACTCCCGACCCTCCTCCAACTAGCTATAGCATCTGCAACCCCCCTCTCTGCACTCCAACATTGACGCTCACTCCGAAATCGTCCTAGCTGCCGGAGACACATTTCCAGACTTCTCACGGAGCCATATCCTTCATCTGACACGAATCAAGTTGTTTCTGCTCTTTGCAGTATTTATTTTACTATTTGTTGAGTCGCTATTTCTTATATTATCATTCACAAGTTGTGTTGTTTTCGTACAAGAGTCGGTGTTGTAATTTCCTTTAAAATCATCAATAAAAATTGTGCCGTTTCAGGTCGTGGTTTGGGCCAACTCCGGTATCAAAATCATTTGTTGATGCATAAAGTTTGCTAATTTTTTTTATTTTTTTCTTTATATTTTCATACAGTTATTGGGGGTATGCCAAAAAGTGCTTTAAAATAAAAAATTTAGGCTTAAAGAATAGTCCAGTGTACACCATCTAAAGCATGGTGCAACTTTAATCAAGATTTCTAAAAATCAGGCAAGTAAATTCAATGGTCAAAAAATTCCAATTTGTCATGACTTTACAAAGGCAGACACTAAAAAAAGGATCATGTAAATTTCACAAAAAAGATATTAAGTTAATTAAATTACACAATATACCTCATACAGTCTACATTTCCTGCCAAGTACAACTTCATATCCTCAAAACATCTCTCCTCCAATGACTTGAATCCTGATTTACAATCTCTAAGGGAAGGCCATAATTTGCACAATACTTGATAAACGAGCAACTGCAATAATAAAAGATCAATTTTGCTATTACACGTTAACCATGTCACAAAATCTAAAATCAGGAAAAAACGGGACTGCAGAACTAAACTGCTATACCTGAGTAAAGCATCGCAAACTGTGATGATGGGAAGTTAAAAATGGAATCAAAGGCGGCAATAGATTATAAAAATGTTTCATCTGAACTGATAATTCTCTTGAATGGAGGATTACATTGGCTGCTACAAAAACATATGAAGACAAAGCCTGCAAAAACATGCACCGACATTATCGAGGAAGTAAATCCGTACAAAATGGAGATGAAATTACTACCTGTGGCCGCATTTTATAGTCATAGAATATTGGAATTAGCTGCTCTTCAGCCTGTAAGTGCCGATGGATTATGTTACAAGTAAATTATACAATAAGGGAACATGGAAGCACTTATTAAAACCCTGCCAGATAAATAAGTTTAACAGCTATATTTTCATTGATGTAGCAATGTTAAAAGAAAGGTTCGAGTCAAAGAAGATCCAAACAATGAATCAATAAATGATCATAAAACTAGAACTGTAGTATTTGACAGTACTAACTGCCTGTTACTAGTCAAAATTTTTGGCGGACTATATTCAAGAAAAGAAAAAAAGAGCTTAACATAGTACTTAAAGAAGCTTAGAAAATATTAAAAACTTGTTAAAGAGTGCGCATAATGCGTTGCACATGGATGTAAATGAGAAGATAAATGAAACCCAGCTTTTCATCTGAGTACCCCATCAACTACCAAATCATTACAGCCTGCCATTTTTTTTTTGACAGGAAACATACTGTAATTTTAGGGCCTTTTTTGTTTTTATTTTTTGTTTTATTTTTAAAAACAAATTTGTTTAAAGTATTTTATACATGTTTTTATTATTTTTTAAAAAATAAATTAACATATTTTTGAAAAACTCTAAAAACTTTTTAGATGGTTTGAGCGTTTTTAAAAAGGGGCAATTACATACAAGGAACCCAAAACATTCCTAGTTATAAATCAAGCACCCTCTTTCATCCATTTTTCAAATTCTCACTCAAACATCAAAGGACAAGATAAAACCCCAACCCATGTTTTTTTTATTTTTATTAAATTCACAATGGTTTGATTGTGGTGCATCGTTTTCCTAGTTCAAAAAATCACCTAGCCGCTTGATTTGTAAATAGCAATATTTCTTGTGCTCTGTATGTAATTATCCCTTTTAAAAACAATCCTATTTTAATTAAACATGCTAAACATGTTTTATTTTAAATTAAACATAAACAAAGCAAAATAAAAACAAAAAATAGAAAAAAAAACAAAAAAATGATCCCAAATAGCCCTTTAATAAAGCGAAGTGAATAGGGTGGTGGCCACCATTTCATCATAGAGTTTGCACCATAAGTGAGTAACACAACCCAAGAAAAAAATCAAGTGCTAAATTGCCTCAATATAGGCATATTCCCAGTAGAGAACATAAAAACTTCCTTGCTCAAGTAAAGTCCAAAAAATGGAACATAGATTTTCTCAAGAGAAAATTGTGTATAGCATTATTCTCTCTCTCTCACCCCACCATAGTGTCCCTCTCCTATACGCTACAAAGTGACTATCTCCATCCTACGTACACCCTATACGCTTTACATTTCAGCAACACAAGTGGATATTTCATTTTGATTAGGTAAGCAATTTGGAGAGAGCTTCCATCCCAGCAAATAAAAATACATATATCTTTTTCTGCTAAACCTTCATAAAAGGGGTATTTACATAAAAAGGACAAAATTCATATGTATTTAGACATCTCACACCTAAACAAATATCTATTATGGGTGTAAATATGAAAGTTTAGGAGCAAGGCTCAAGAAACTGGTGGACAGTGTTCGGGTCAAGAGAATTAGATATTTTTTTTGGAATGCATTAAGGGATAATGGGTTTTGCCAAATTTTACCTAAACAAGGAACTTTATCTCTCTATAAGGGTCAATCCACCCAAATGGACTGCAAGAGGATGCCAACTACTATTAGCAAAGAGAAGAGAGCGGTAGGCAACAATTTCTATCTATGGAATTGAAGTATAAAGGTAAAAAGGGAGTTATAAACTAAAGATTAATTTTAATTCAAACAAATTTGATTTGAAATTACAAACTTGATCTTGTAAAAAAAAAAAAAGTAATTGCTTCACAACACAAAACGAACAACTTACTGGAAGAACTATGATTAGCTAGGCACAACAAAAAGATCTTGTTAAAATAGAATACTGAAATCGCATAATACGTATGATTATCGAAAATGATAAATTGTGGTAAAAAATATGTAAATAAAATTTTACCAATTTTGGGAATCTCAAGTAGATCTGAATTGCAAAAGTCTCCAAGTACTGTCGCACAGCTGGTAAATTGTTCCTCTAAGAGATAAAAACATCTGTTAATTTGACAATTGGTAATTAAAGTAAGGCATGCAATAATTAAAGTACCATAATTAACATGTAAAATAACGTAGCTACTGACTATGGATGTGGAAAACATGCAAAAGCAAATACTCTGCTCAAGGGGGCTAAGATAGTCCTTCCATAACAATAGGTGTCTAGCAGTCTCAAGGTCATGCCAAGTCCAGTCATACATGGGGCAGGGAATAGAAAAAAGGGGCATTTAAATACATAACACACAATTCTATACTTATATATCTCAATCCTAAACTTTCATATTTAAACTTTTGTAATTTTAACAATTGTAAAACTCAATAAATAGAGCCATTTTGGCCAAACAAAATATGGGAAAATCTGATGTAGATGCTTGAAACTTCTGAAACCCAGACCTCTAAACTCTCGACCTTTTGAGCATTAAACCTTCTCTCTTTAATTCTCATCTTCTTATACAAATTTTTGCTACTTTCCAACTGATAATAAGAATTGCAAAGATTATGACACAAGGTCCAGCAAACTCATTTTTAGACCTAATGCTTGCATTTTCTTCGAGCTAGATGGTCAAACATGGATCGGCTATGCTTTTCTATACAATAGGCTTGTCTTTTGTTAAAGAAACTGACAGTTAAAGCATTCACATTCAACCAGTTGCTCTACTCATCGATGTCCTAAACCCAATGGAATCGACAACAGCCTATTATACCAAGCGGGTGTGAATGCCAAAATTCTAAAAAACTTGTAGGTGATCAAACAATATAGGTTGCTAAAGACGGATGAAATTAAATTAGATAGAATAAACAGTTAAAATGAAACATTGCTATCAGCTAAATAAAATTTATAAGATATAAATGCGCGGAGTTACAATTTAATACCCTATAATAGAGATAATTGAGAATCAAGTACTAATGCTTGCTTACATAAAGGCAAATATGCAAATTAGAAGTAACTTTTTCAACGATGTCATCCTCAGCAAAAGGAGATAAAATGCAAATCATCTGCCAAGCACGAACTTTCCGCCTATGAACCTAAAACAATGCAGTTATGCGAGCATAAATAAACCAAAAAACAAATATTCAGGATCAAGGATGAACGGACATCTAAAATAAGTAAACATAAAAATCATTGAACTCACACCACTGAACTTCTTGTACAATTCTTTTGATAGATCACTATCATTTACCTACATAGAAATCAAAGAAAGTAGATTAGATGCCAGAAGAATATTGTAAAAAAGGTATGCTTTGTCAAAAACAACATTCTCTATTGACACTGCAATTAGAGCTAGGTACAAACCTATCTAGAATTTTTAATAGTTTAATTTCACGTATATCAAATGCACATTCAACGAATTTGTAGTATTTTTTCAGGTGTAAATATGTTTTTTAATTAAAAATAATACAGATAAAACCAAATCAAATAACTTTAGAATCCTCAAACTTCGCCAACATTTTTAAAAGCTGAATTATATCGCAAGTGGAACAGACCTCACTTCTTTTTACAAAGTGATAATCAAACTATGTCAAGGTCAAGTAAAAATCAATTTAACAATGAAAGCAAAATAGAAGCAATGATGTTTCAGTAGGAATTTAGAATTTACAACAAGTAACCTTTTATGCAAATTAAAGAAAAGAAAAAGTTCAGTGCAAGATAAAGTACACAAACAGTAATATAAAATACCCATACAGTGCTATATGGGGGCATTCCAATAAAATGTAAACTAAATATACAGCACAGAGCATCAAACTGAAAATTAATGAACGTTAAGGAAATATCTTAACATAAGAAACTGCAAGAAAGTATCTACTAACTGGCGCATATTTAGTTTGTCATTGGGGGAAAGAAAACATTAAGTAGGAATTAAAAATAATAGCTTCAAATTTAATACTCCAAAAAAATTGTGATCATGGTTCTTATCGTAAATACAAGAGAAAATAAAAAGCAACAAAATTATTTAGTAACAAATATTAACCTTGGGAGAATGAATGAACTAAGTTAATCAACTAAAAACATCAAAGCAGAATAATTCTTTTATCTGGTATTTATAGGAGTTTTTCTGTTCAAATAGCTTGGCTTATCATTCCAAAATGATCCCATAGGTACAGATACGCTCCATGGAAATTTCCATACACAATACAACTGTAAATGAGAAGATGATAAAAATATCCAAGATTAAACAAATAACAAGATTATCTCTTAGTGTTCCATGATCTAGCAAATGTATGTATCACGATAAAGGAAAACAGTTCTTGAAATGAAACACAAATAAAAAGTGTGAGGTTCATCTCTTCAACTTACCGAGATTAAAGCCAAACAAAATGATTTTGAAGTTGGCAAATTATAACCAAGTTGAAAAAGTAAAAGTTCCTCATAGCTCAAGTTTTAAGTGAATGTAGGGACTGAATTTAGTATGCCTAATATGGTCAAGTTGCTAACAATGCTCCTTATTCACCAAGCTAACTAAATCGCCATAGTAAAATGGCACCCATTTCAAAAGTTCAATAAAAAGATGACGCGGGAGTTGCATGCGCCCAGAAGCGGGGGCGATCCCGCAGGAGCTAGAACCCTGCGACACTTCGCGAAAGCCGTGATCCCTCACGAAGGATTGCGAACTGCGATCCCGCTGTCCAGAACCCACGATCTTTTGCGGTCACACACGAAGGAGGGAGGAGACTACATCTCTCGCGATCCGAAGAGGTTGTCTTGTGAGTATTCCACACCGACTTCTTCTAGGTGTTTTTTTCTCTGGATTCTTCTTGTCTTTTCCAACCCTTTCCTTTTGTGTAGAAGTAGAATGAAATATATAGTTGACCCTTTTTTGTAAGAGGTAGTTCTAGCAAAGTTGTCTTCTAATTTACTGTGTGGAGTCATTTCCCTCTTGTTAGGGCTTTATCTGACGACATGTGGTACTTCGGCCGTATCCGACTCCGAGGTGGTGTTCTAAACTTCCAACCTCCTTCACCTTTTCTCACCAATCCCTTCTCCTACATATCCCCTAGCTGCCTACCACCCCCATAAGCCTCCACCACTCTAAACCCCACTCATACTGCCCCTAACATCTTACTGTCCTATCTACTCACAACAAACCAAACATCATCACAACTACCCAAAAAACCCCCGACATCTCCCATCTTCCCCTCCCAACCCGCTGACGCCCCACCGCCTTCAGAGATCTTCTTACATCCCTAACCGGGGAATTTGCCTATAATTGTAATTCTTTTTTACTTGAGTCGTGTTGTAATCCTATTTCTATATTAATAAAAGTTTGTCTTTCTGTTCAACTGTTCTTTTTAATAGTTTCAGTATCAAAGGAACTGTAAATTTCTATGCTAAATCAAACATATGAGTTCAAGTGACCTGAAAAAAGAGATTTATTAGTTGATCAGAAGAACAAGAAAAAAAATTGAAAGGATAGTTCTGACTCAAGGAAGCATCAATCTTAAGTACAATGTCATGGTTAAAATATGAGAAATTAAATCATGCTGGAGAGATTGTCCTTCCCTCAATAAGTTTAACAAGCATAAAGCAAAAGACTAAAGGCACGCCACATTTAATGAGTATGGCAAAGCACAAAGCATAGTCTAAAATAAGTAATCATTAAGTTCATTTAGGATTGAGGCCAAACTAAAAAAGTTTATTGACAATAAATCCATCAATGCATGAAGCATTCGACCAAAAACCCTCTGCCATTGAATAGAACACCACTGCACATCATTTATCAAGTCCACAAACAAAAGTAAAATAGAATAAAAGATAGGTTATTTTTTCTTGAATCTTCAATGAAAATAAGCCAAGAAGATCCTTTGCAAAGTACATTAAAAACCCAAAGTACATGACTAACAGAATTTTGCATTCAGTTCTCAGAATTTTGCAAAGTACATTAAAAACACAAAGTACAAAAAAGCTAGGAACTTCGATAATAAAATATTTTTTGAGCAGTAGGCTCAAAAAATGAATGAGAATTTTTTTAGGTAAAATATCAGTTTAGAATTTGCTTGATTTTTTTTTTTGAGTTGTTGATTTTGGTATTGATGGTATTGATGACTAATTGAGAAATTTGATATTTATGATATTTCATATGAAAGAAAAGGATCTCAGAGAGGTCGGAAATTGAAAAATCCATCTAGAGAAAAAAACATACAATTTTTGAGATTCTCAACCTCTAAAACATGAAACAAATTATTCACAAGCCAACATTAATAGATTTTCTTTATATTAAACATGTCATTATCATCTAATATTGCCAATGAAATTACCGCAGTTTCAGACAATATTATTTCAAGTAATTTAAAAGAAAAAAATTATGATACTAAGGCTCTGTTTGGGGCAGCTGCAGCTTATCCAGCTTATCCAGATAAGCTATTAATCAGCAGTTGATCAGGATAAGCTGGTTGGCTGTTTGGTTTGTGAGTTTAGAAAATAATATATTTGTAGTTGTTTCTGGAAAAAATGATCATTTTGCCCCTGATTTGAATAAGTTGTCTAGTTATTCATTTTGTGCATTTTTAGTTCAACAGAAGGGGGGGGACATACGCACCAACCAATTCCTACGTAGTTATAAATCTAACACCTAAATTTATTTTTTACATTTATACCATCAAAACCTTTCATTTCAACAACCTCCAGGTTTCATCCAGGATATAAATTATAAAGACAAACGTAATTACCATAACAACAGAGCATCAATCTGCAGATCGATATTTTAAAGTGCTAATCCATGTTCCAGCAAAGTCAAGGGTTTTCCATGAGAAGAATTATAATTTTGTACATTAATCAATGTGGATTCGGCGAGCGAAAAACAGTAATCAACATTCAAGTAAACAATTATGTACAAAAACAAAAGATAACAAATCAAGAAACAAATTACTCATCAATTAATTTACTGTAATTTCGAGTAGAATATCCTAAGCAATCTCTCAATGGAAGTCCTAAGTAATCTCACAATGAGTTTTCGATCAATGATTCTGTCATCCAATGTTAAAACATGCAACTGCACTTCCATAGCTACGACCATAATATCCTCCTCAAATCAAATAGCCTAAGAAATGAAATTGAATTGAAACCAAGAACAAACTAAAACAAGGCTTACTTGATTTTCCTCTCTGTTTCCTCAGTCAACTTGTTTCTTTCCCCCTTTATATTGGAATATTCACAACAACAACAAAGCAACACAAATCCCACCAAAATCTCAACGCATCGAAATCAAGATCCGATCAGATTTTAACCAAATCTTCAACTCTTTCTCTAACAATTTGCTTTGATTCGTAGTGTAGCGCAAGCAAGCAAGCTGTCCAATTTTCCCTTCCCGGTTGTTGTTTTTATCTCAAATGGCAAAAAAAAAAAAAATGAACGAGAATGCCGAAGAAGAAATACCGAGGAAGAAAAGAGACGTTATAACCTGTCGATTGCCGAAGAAGAGGGAGGAGCGGCTACCGAAGAAGAGGGATGAGCGGCTATGCAGAGTATGCGAACGAGGGGAAGGGATATGCGGAATGATGGGCACAAAAAAAGTGAACGATGAGGGCAGTGGAGTAATAGGACGCGAACAAAACGCCACCTGCGGGGACCCTGCCGCGCGCGGCGTGCTTCACAAATATAAAACGTTGTTTTTAGATAAGCTAGTGAAACGCGCGAAACAAACAGTACTGTAACGTTTTGAAAATGCCGCCCGCAGTAATAAGCTGCCCCAAACGGGCCCTAAATCTCATGAATGCTTCATAATAAAATACCTAGACAAACTTTTACATGTCATGTTTTCTTGATACACATAAATACATCTGATTGATAGAAGTGCATAACAATATTCAATATTTTAAAAATAATTATGATAAAGATGCTTTAAATAAAAGAAGTCTATAAAAGATCATGTCATATGAGATATATCAGCAAGTGATAATAATGAATTGTGCAAGGGTGGTGAAAGACATAATGAGCTAAGCCTTAGTAGAGGCCAAAATGGGGTTCTTTCATCTCTGCTAATGTTGAAACCAAGTCTTTAATTTGAATTGAAGGGTTATTTATAGATAATTAGCTGAAGGGCTAAATGACAACCTAATGTTATCAAAGTTCCAAGGCTCCCCACGTCATTTTGAAAACTATCAATGATAAGAAATAATATTAAAATAAAAAAAGAAGGCAAGTTTTGCATTAAATATTTAATATTCATATGGTAAAATATAATTTCTTTGCAGATAGATATATTTTACTGCTTCCGATCATCTTCTATTTATGCAAATATAAGAGCTTATTTTGCTTCTAGAACAGTAATGTTTATGGTTAAAGATGCTCATATTAGTTTAGAAAATTAGCATGCCTGTTATCATTCCATTTTCTTGTATTTTGAATCTTATATTAAAATTATTTATTTTGCTGACTTTATAGCTCATTAGATATTATGTTAATTAATTTTCAAAAAAGGGAAAATAATCGGTGGGTCAGCATTAGGTAAATTAATTTTTACATGCATTCTAGAATATATATATGTACATTTTTAGATGTTTGATAAAAAAAAAAGATGTTCAAAGTGTCAACTAAAAATTTCTAGTATGTATGAACTTTTTATAAAGTATTTTGAAGCTAAGCAGTTCATGTTTGATGATATTATGTATACTTCCTATTACTGATTATGATAAATCTATTTAGATCATGAAAATATAAATCATATTTTATGTTGATTTAGATAGATTACTTTTTTTCTTAGCCGATCCTGATTTGTCAAGTCATCATAGGTAATGATACAAAATATATCTAACTAGATTGTCCACTGCTGCCGTGCCTCATGCTTGAGAAGAGGGGGTCAAAATGGAGCATGGTTGTAAAAAGCCTACAAGTCCATTTATAAGGAAAAAAATAATTTCAAATAAAAACACTTAAGATTAACTTGCCTATATTAGTAAATCTATAGACCTAAATCCTCATAAGAAAGTAGTTAGTCAATAGTGTTTAAAACACCAACCATGGACTAAAGTAATCATGTTTTCGCCCATATGACTAGTTTCATTACCACACATTACAACTAGAGGGGTTTACAAGGAAAATTTAGTTTTGAAATGCAAGGAAAACTGCTCATATTATATCCTTAACAATGGTCATATAGGCATTATATCATAATCGGAGGAGATCACTCTGATGAAAAATCTAAAAAATTTTAAAGTAAATCTTGATGATGAAATATCCAAAATAATATCCTCTAGTTTTAAACCAAATTTTAAAAATAATTACTTCAAAATTTTAAGATTGTTTCATCGGAGTGATCTCCTCTAATTAGGATTTAATGCCTACATGACCATTGTTAGGGACATTATATGAGCAATTTTTCTTGCATTTGGAAACTAAATTTTTCTTGCAAACCCCTCTAGTTGTAAGGCGAGGTAATGAAACTCATCATATGGGCAAAAACAAGATTACTTTAGTCCATAGTTGGTGTATTCAACACTATTGAATAACTACTTTCTTATAGAGATATAGGTATATATATATATATATATATATATATATATATATACAT